CCCATTCTGTTGACAATCCTTGCATCAACTTGAGTATCAGTATTCGGGGAAAAATAAATCAAAGATTTATTTGCACTAACACTTTGCCCCGACATCTCACAAAAGAGATTAATACAATCCATAATCACCTTAGCTTGCTCCATATCTGCTTCCGCAAAGAGAATGATATCATCTGCAAATAAAAGGTGGGATACACTCGGCCCTATTCTGCAGACTCTAATAGGCTTCCACGAACCCATAGTCACTTTTTCAGCGATTAAGTGGGAAAACTTCTCAACACACAACACAAAAATATAAGGAGAGATTGGATCCCCTTGACGAATTCCTCTTTGAGGAACTATGCAATCTGAAGCCACACGATTTATCAAGACCCTCGAACGATTAGAAGTTATATAAGTCATTATAACACCAATCATCCAATCAGGAAACTGAACTTCAATAAGCACTTTATAGATAAAACTCCAACTGAGTTTATCATAAGCTTTTTCAAGGTCCAGTTTGATTTCCATTGTACCTTTCTTTCCTATTACTCTCCCCATAGAATGAACCAGCTCCTTTGCTACTATAATATTATCCCGAAGCTGACGATTTGGCACGAAGCTAGCTTGGTAAGGAGAAACTAAATTCTCCATTGTAAGCTTAAGCCTATCCACAATGATCTTGCTCATACCCTTATAAATGACATTACAGAAATAAATAGGTCTGAATTGAGAAACATACATTGGCTTAGGAACTTTGGGGATCAAAGTGATCAGAGTACCGTTGACTTCCTCAATGCTGGAAGGGTTTTCTGCATAATACTTGATATCTCTCCAAATTTAATCACCAATAAGTTCCCAGTTCTTTTTGTAGAATGCTGCGGTATAGCCATCCTCCCCTAGAGCTTTCGAAGCTTTCATAGAAAAGAAAGCTCGTCTGACTTCATCTTTTGAAATTGGAGCACCTAAGTTAACAACAGTCTCATCGTCCACCTTTGGCCAAAAAGTCTGGACCCAAGAACGATCATGGTTTTCTTCAGAAAATAGTTTAGAGAAGTAAGCATTTATTACTCGTGCAATATTGTGATCTTCTCTAATCAAGTTTCCAACATCATCATTCAACTCCACGATCTTGCTCCTTTTACGTCTAACAATTGTTTTTGTATGATAGTACTTTGTATTCCTATCTCCTTGAGCTATCCAAGTAGCACAAGACTTTTCAAACCACAAAAGCTCATCCTATTCTAAAACTTGTTCAAGTTCACCCCTTATCTTACCTTCAATCTTTTCCAAATGGCTTTTATTCTGCTCAGAAATTGCCCGGTGGATACCTTCAAGCCTACCAATCAACCTGTTCTTCTTATGATGGATATTACCAAACACATATTTATTCCATTGCTTAATAAGAAGAGTGAAATCACGAAGACTATCAACTGTTCTTTGATCCTGATGCCAGTTTTCCTTGATGAAATTGTTAAAAAATTGATGATCCAACCAAAAAGAATGAAAACGGAAAGGGCGTTCCACCCCATCAACTTTTCTTGGCTCTAAGGTAATAAGGATAGGATTATGGTCACTGTTAATACGAGGAAGCACTCGAACCTGGCCTTCATGAAACATCAACCTCCATTCAGCATTGCTACAAGCTCGATCTAAACGTTTAAAGACTCTATCTAAATGAAGAAATCTTGGTCCTCTCCATGTAAATTTAGAACCTATTCCTTCAAGATCAATCATCTTTATATCAGTTAGAAGAGAAGAAAATTTATTACATCTGCTAGTATCAACTGGAGCACCACCACGTTTCTCACTTGGAAAGGCAATTTCATTAAAATCACTTGCAATTAACCAAGGAACCGAGATATCTTCTGATAACTAAAGTAAATCATCCCAAAGTCTCTTACGAATTTCTTCTCTAGGACTTGCATAGATAACAATATAAAGAAAAACTTGATGATTTGCCAATGTAACACGAACATGAATAGATTGATGGGTCTGTTTTAATGCTTGAACCTGACACCTATCATTATTCCATAGTAACCAAAGACCTCCCGTAAATCCATGAGCATCCTCCACTATTGAATTATTAAAACCCAACTTTTTTATTATCTGTTTTGCTTTTGAACCACTTACTTGAGGTTCAAGAATAGCTGCCACCTCAATCTTATGCCTTCGAACCATCATTTGAAACGTTGATTTGAAGCACTTTTTAGCCGGCACGTGGAAATTCCATGTAACTAAAGACATTAATCAATGGTAATTTGGCAGGATTGTGGGTCCACTGCCATCCCATTGTCAGTGGAGTTTCAGATTCTGAAATCATCTCCACCTCAATATTGAGCTCATGGTTTATTGGGATATGCTTTCCTTTATCTCTACTTGGATCAGGCGCTTTTGGTTGGGACAAGCCATGATCTAAGCTGTTGATATTTTGACCATCCTTATCCACCTCCATTTGATAACAATCTTTGTTATAATCAGCAACAGTACTCCTAGCCACCATGGAATCTCCACTGCTTTTACCTCCAATGTCCTTACTATTATGAATCGCAACTTGCCTCCTCAAGTTCTCTGTATTATTGTTTGAGGTACCTCTGTCAACTATTTTCCCATTTATTTGATTCTCTTTTTCATGACCTGTCGTAATCCCACTTAACGTAAATCGGTTGGGGTGTTCCTGTAATTCAACATTAGGATGGCTTCTAGGGTTTCTGTGTTTGGACCCTTGAGATGTACTAATATCAATATTAACATGAGGGCCCACCATATTGATGTCATTTATAACAGCATCCGGATTAGTCGCTGGGATATCATGAGTAATATCATCTACATTAGAGCCCATTAAAGCAGCGTAACTTGATTGATTATCAATCATAACCGGCTGATTTGATTGCGGTTGATTACTCCCTTGATTATTCCCTTGATTACTCCCTTGATTACGCCTTGATTCCCTTCGAACCAGTTCCTGCTTCCTGTTGTCCGCCATTGGAGTTTGAATTCTTGATCGACGACGTTGACGTTGCACCACCATCCAAGGACCTAATCCATTTTTCTGAAACTCAGCCTCATCTTTTTTTCCCGTCTTGATTTTGCTGATTATCATTTCCTTCAACTGGTATCTCAGGACAACAATCTTTACTATGTCCATAGTGCCCACAATGGAAACAAATAAGGCCTAAACCTTCATATTCTATCTGTTTAGTTGCTCCGTCCAACACATATTCACCCTTCAAAGGCTGAGCAAGATCCAGTTCCACGCAAATTCGAGCAAACTGTCCTCTTACATGCTCATTAGTTGTCCTATCGATCTTCAACATTTTACCTAGCCAGTTACCAATACGGCGGAAAAAGGCTTCATCATAATACTCCAGTGGGATACCCGGTAATCGCACCCAAGCTGCAATCTTTATCACACTTGCAACATTTGGTCTAAAAGCTGGCTCCCAACGTCGGAGTGATAAATAATGGCCTAAAATAATCCAAGGACAACCATTTAGAGCAAAAAGAAGATCATCTGTGTTGCTAAATTGCACCACATAGAATCCATTACCTACATTTGTAATGTTAATCTTTCCAGCTCTAGCCCATAGTATTTCAATCTTCTTTTTCATGAAAGCCACTCCCGTATTCCTTCCAAGTAGTTTTACAATGAGAGCTTTTTCCCAAACCTTCAGCATTCTTGTTCTTGCTTTTCTAGTACAACCAAAATGAGTTCTACCATCTTCCTTTGTCCACATTTTAATCCCACCATAATTCACATCCTCTTCCTCCGCAGGTGCACTTTGATCAACATTTTCTTCCAAATTCCAATCCATTCCTTCCCAGTCATCTGTTTCACCATTGTGTTGCATGAGCATCTATCGCCAAGTCATCTTTTTATTACCGTCGTCAACCATCCAAGATTCATGTCTAGGAACCCTAGACTGTGATTCAGTAAACACCCTATCTCCATCTTTATTTCTGTTATTACTCCTACGTAGCAGATCTTCTTCTTCTTTTGAAGTTTGGCCTTCAGTAGCTATATTTTCCTCCATGAAAAGGAAAACCCTAGCAGAGCTTAATATCAGTTGTTAGGATTTGGAGTTTTTGGGTGACGCTTATTACCTTCAAACTCTGGTTATTTATTTGATGGAATGTTAATATCATCACTGATCTATTGATACGATACATGATTAATTTGTTGTATATGATAAATTGAGAAGCAGATGGTGTAAATAGGTTGGGTCGAGTCGAGTTAATATTTAGGTAAAATACTTTAGATCTGTTCTAATTTGTTAACATTGTGTAGATTCAAAATATAAAATTAACATTGCTTATATTTAAAAAACAAAAGGCTTAAACTAAGCTTGTTAGCCTATATAACCCTATTAAGTATTCAATATTAAAAATTAAAATTAAAATTAAAATAATATTATTTTATTATTCAAAATATTAAAATAATAATTAATTTATTTTTTTAAAATAAATAATATCATATAGATCAGTAAGTAAATTTATAGTCCAATCTTGTATAAAAAATTTATAACCTATTTTTTATAAAAACTTTTTTAAAATCTCGAATTTACTTTATTTTATTAGATATAATAAGTAAAATCTAACTTAATATAAGGCATGCTAGGTCACCGATATAGACCATTTGACTCATTTAAACTTCTAGCGCACGGCACTCATGTTAGTTAATTCTCTGTGATTTAAACTGTGGCCAATTTTTTTTAAAAATAAATTTTTAATTTTATTCTTTTGTGACACATGACTATTTCCATCGAAAAGGTTAGAGATTAGACCTTTATGGCAAACAATTAAATATTAGTTGCAAATGTTTAGAAAATAGCTTCAAAATGTTTAAAGAAAAAGAGGAAGCTAGAAAGAGAAGCTAACAAGACAACGATAAGGTGCCCAACAATTTTCCCACCACCTACTTTTGCTTTGCTTTCCAACTACGCCCCCGTTCTTTACTCTCTTGGATACCCCGCCTCTTACTTTCCCTTCTTTAATGATTCTGATTTTTCTCTTCTTTCCACGAAAAAATGAAAGCAATCTGAGGAGTGCTTGAAAATCAAACGCATGAGAGACTTGCTTATGATTTATAGAGATTTTATGATTAAATCCACATGATGGGTTCTGTCACTTACTCAAATCCATGGGCACCAAATGCTTCTTTCAAAGACTGTTCTCAAGGAATTTGCAGCATCTATTGTCCTCAGTGGTGTTACATCATCTACTCTCCTCCTCCTCCTTCAATCTTGCTTGGTGATGACACAAATGATGACCCTTCTGGCTTTCAATTCTCTCCTCTCATAGTAGCTGTCATTGGAATCCTAACAAGTACTTTCATCTTGGTCACTTATTATACCATTATCTCAAGGTTTTGTAGGCATAGGGGCAGAATCAATGACCCATCTTCTTCACAAATAGATCATGAGGATGGAGATGCTATGAACAGAGATTTGGCTCAAGTTTCTTCACCTTCTGGTTTAGATGAGGCTCTCATCAAATCAATCACTGTTTGTGAGTACAAGAAAGGTTGTGGGTTGGTGGAGGGTAGTGATTGTTCTGTGTGTTTGAGTGAGTTTCAAGAGAACGAGAACTTGAGATTATTGCCAAAATGCAACCATGCCTTTCATCTACCTTGTATTGACACTTGGCTTAAATCCCATTCAAGTTGTCCTTTGTGCCGTTCCAATATCTCCTCAACCATCACTTCTAGTACAAATCAAAGAGATACTTCATCTATGGAAGCGCCAGCAAGCATAAGTATCAATGCCTTGGAATACCAGCAAAGGAGTGATGTTGTCGTAATTATTCAGAGTTCTGAGCCAATTTCACAGCAAGAAGTAGTTGTTAACTTTGGTGGTGAAGTTCTTCCAAAGTTGCCAGTGGAAGGTGCTCATGGTGGACAGAATATGGAACATATAATTAGGCATGAGATGAATTCTTGTACAAGTCAAAGATGGGTATCTATTGCTGATATATTGAATGAAAGTGAAGGTGATGTGGAATTGCAGAGGGAGGTATCTATGTAGGATCATCAAGAGGAACTGAATGAGCACATAAGTGAAGAGAATGGGAAAAGTGGAGTGGTGGATCTCGTGAAAAGATCTGCTTCAACGGAGTAGATATTCTATTCTTCCAAACATGGTATGTTTTTAATTCTGAACTTATTACTAGCTTCTGTAACATAGTTGAGGTTATTGAAGACCGGGATTACTGTATATGAATTTGACAGAAATTTAACACAGAGATTTGTTTTAGCAATTTGTAGGTGTTTTTACCCATTTAATGTAAAACGGAAAACTTTTTACGGTAATGGTTTAAAATTCAATCATTTTATTAAAATAATACTATGAGACACAAATGGGATGTGCGCCTTCAAGTCCGGAATGGAGGAGATGCGCCACTTGTGCATGAATAAATGTGGGGAAGTGATCTAAATGCCGTATAAAATTTGCTATCAATTATAGCGAACTTAATCCAGTCAGCTTTTTTCTTGCAAAGTGTGCACCTGTCACGAAATGAGAATGTGTCACGTGGCCCAATTAAATTCGCTATGACATGTAGCGAACTTAGACACATGACAGTATGGTAAAAAGGAGTTAATTTTAGCGAACTTAATCCAGTCAGCTTTTTGGTTGAGTTAATTTGCTGCAGTAATTCGTGGAGTGAGAGATGTTTAGAGCTGTTTTGGGGTTGGTTGTCAGTTTTGTTTGTCCAACTTCAAATGGCGATATCTGGAACAAAGGAGTTCTAAATAACTCACGTGATAGCTTCCTAGAAAGGTAATTGAGTGTAGAATATCATATCAAAAGATGGGAGGCTTGTAGAATGCAGTTTATCCGCAGAAAATTAAAGACCAAACCATGTTCGGAAGGGTAGAAAACGTAAAAGTGAGAATTATACTAAGTGAGTTTATGGGAACCCCTTAGTGACTTGTGGTAAGTAAAATAAGTTATAAAAGTAATCTAAATAAGTATTCCGCAAATAGTTTACAGTTACGGTCACAACTTTTAATTATTACGCTTTTATTGTTTTAAATGTTCGCGTAATAAACGAAAAAAGTTTACTCGCATTTTTATAAATGAATTGCTGTGATTGTAACTGCGCTTAATATCATAATTAATGTTAACAATACCGGTGTACAACGGGCTGTTACAAGCTACCTTAGCCGATTCGTGGCTCAGGTCCTATAGCCGATTAATAGCCGAGGTCCTTTAGTTGTCCATTTTTCTGCTTCTGAATATTTGCCCAAGGTACTTATAACAACTTACCCTGAGCTATTTCTGCTCAAAATGCTTCATATTTTAAGAAATGTTTTTGCTTCCACGTAATGATAACTGCTTTTTACGTGGCTCTTCTTGATAAGTGAGACGTGTGAAACTGCCCTTTCCACGCCGCCTTGAATTAATTTGCAACTGTCAGAACGTCCCTCAATTGTTCTGTCTGCTCATGAATATACTTATTTACCCCTGCCTTTTGATTTCGTGGGCTTTTTCCGTTTAACTTCACTTTCATCTTCACATTTTTCATATTTCAATATTTCTTTCGCACTTCTCATTTGCTCTTACTTTGCTCTTCCTGAACTTTCTTCCCGTCCGTTTGCTCGTCATTTCCGCAGTTCCACTTCGACAACTCTCCTAGTGCTTTCTTCAGGTATGTTTAACAAATTCTTTGATTTGTTGCTACTGCTATCGTTTTGTCCATATCTTTTATGCTTTTCCCTTTTTAATTTGCTCTTCTTCATCTTTCCATATTTTTTCTTTCTATTTTGTGCCTTCAAACATGCATATCTCTTGTTCTTCTATTCATTTGCTATTCAACTTGTCTGATATGCACGATATGCACTATGGCTATCATTTCCCACTATTCCTTACTTATTTCTCCAAAACTCTTCTTAGTATGAGTGAAGGGAATTTTATTTCTCCAAAACTCTTCGTAGTACGAGTGAAGGGAATTTTACTGGTCGAGGGAAACCCACTTGTCTTCGTGGCTTTGGCCGCAGTGATGAAATGGACGAGGAGGAAGAAGAAAGGTTTATTCAGAGCCTTTCTCCTAGTCCGAGGTTTTGGTTGTTTGGTAGACCCCGGACCGAGGAAGAGAGGCAAGCCGTCTTATTAAAGGGATATCGAGGAAGTGGAAGTAGGGGAATGTCTGCACCTTATCCTTCATCTCAAGGACACAACCCAGGCATCAGCCGCAATCCGAGGGATTTACCAAGACTTGCTAATCGTAGTATAGGTCAATCCCCTACCCTTGCATGTTTACCCCAAAATCCGAGTCATAATCCTCCTTTGTCCTCATCTCCTCACCAAGCCGTGGTCACTAATCCGGTTAGTAGAAATCCGGATCCGTGATACAACTATGTTTATCTCAGTGCTCAATTTGTCCGAAAAGGAAATGACTTCATGGCCGACCTAGTTTTAAATAGTTGTTCCCATCATCCCAGTTCATCTACCCCAGCTCCTTTGGTTGTTTCAGATGACTCTTCAAGCTCTTCCCATAGTAATTTATTTAGTTCAGGTACGTACTTTTCCTGATTTAATCTTTCCGTGTTGTTGTTCTAGGTATTTATGGAGTCACCTTCTGCAGAGTTAGGTATCGAGATACCCTCGTCTAGTCAAGGATAGGAGACCGAGGTAACCCCAGCCGAGCAAGGCTCCGCTCCTATTAGTAGTACTCTTTGTAAACAATTTTCTTGGGTAGCAGAGGAAGTTTTGAGCTTTAGGTTCGATATGACGACTGAGGATGTATCCGGGCTTCCAATAGGCAACCGGTTCGGTTCAACGCCTTTCCCCCCGCAGAATACGAGCCTGTTTGTTCGGGCCAGAATCATGAAGAACCACACTCCTTTTTCTTCTATTGTGACTTGATTACCAAAATTGGTATCCGATTTTCCTTCTCCCCCTTTCAAATACAACTTTTCCTTCTCCCCCAGATTCATATTAATGGCTGGGCTTATGTAATTGCTTTTGAGCAGCTATGCTCATCTTTATCTGTACCTTGCACCGTTCCTCTTTTCCTTTATTTTTTCAATGTATACACTCCCGAACTGGCTCTGAAGCTCCTAGGTTGAAGGGGTGGACTAGCATCCGGGGTCGTGCTAGCAAACCTTCTAGGAAATTATTCTCTATTTACAGTGACTCCTTCAAAGACTTCAAAGGTTCATACTTTAAGGTAATAGCCGAAGTCGGAGAAAGACCATGGTTTATTGGAGATGATGGAGAAGGAATATTTCCTCTTTACTGGTCCTAGGAACATCACTTATGTAAATCATTTAACTTTAAATTGAGAGTTTCTAGTGAAGATAAAGTCAATGCTAAGGCTTTATTGAATTATGTAGAATCCCAGGGCCATCTGAGCGCGACTTCCCTGGTAGCTAACAAACTGGCCCAGACCGAACTAGTATGCCCGACTCATTTTTTCTTCTTTTTTGTAACATTTACATGACTTCTTACTTTAACTGTGTCTATCTTCATTGCAGATCCCAACATGGAGGATGAACTGATTACATCCTGGCCTTACGAGGAAAATATGCTGCTCGGCCTCCTCCAGCTGCCAAAAGGCACAAAATTGTCGGTTATTCCATGGCTGCTGCTTCATCAACCCCGACTATTAATCCAGGCGTGTCAGTAATGGACCTCACAGATGATACTTACAGCTGGTTGGAGTCGGGTCTTAACCCAGCTCCTCCCACTGAAGGTACTGGGAGAATGACACGTGTTGTGGTGTCTGTTGACCGGGCTACCTCGATCCCTCTTGCTCTCCCCACCGGACTTAAGAGAGGAGCTTTATGGGAAACCGAGGTGGCCAGTGAGCTCCGTGGTGTAACCCGTCCTCCACCTGCATTTTTTGAATGGGGGATGATTTCTAGGGCGGAAATGGAGGAATTACAGAGGGCTGAGTTATATGCCTATAAGGCGGCATCTTTACTGAAACCATATTCCTTGCTATTGGAGAATTATACATAGCGTATTGCTGAGAGAGATGCCCTTCGAACTGACCGTGATAAGGTGAGCCAAGAGAATCAAAGTTTAACAGTTGCTGCTACCGAGTTAAAGTTGTCTCTAGAGCAATCTAAAGCGGATTTGAAATTTGTGTCCAATTCCTTTACCTTTGAAGCTGATAAAGATGTTATCATTAACCATTTCAAGGAAAAATTCGCTTTGCTAACGGAGAAGGAATCGACTATCAATGCTTTGACTCTGGAAAATGAAAATTGAAGTCTGATCTTCAAAATTTGCAATTTGACTATGATATTAGCCAAATCCCGTTTTGGAGAAGGCTGTTGGTATTGCATTTGCCAATGCTATCAACCAAATGAAGCATTTCAATCCTAAGGTAACTTTGAAGACTGACCAGCTCGACTGTTTTGGCTACATCCGCGGTGGAGTCTTCATTCCCCCCAGGATTAACAAAGATTTGGACATAGAAGGGGATGTGGTTATTACACCGGAAGCCGATGCCGCTGGGTAGCAATTTGCAGCTGAGGTGAGGGAGATGTTGCGTGAAGATTAGCAACTGTGAAGGGTCGGGATGTAATATACCAGAAAAATAATAGTAATTTATAATAATAATAAATTAATAATAATAATAATAAATTATAAATTAGTAGTAATAATATATATATATATACATACATATATATATTTGATGGTTATAGATAACAAATTATAATATAAGTTTTACTTTTGATAAAATGATTTTGTGCGATATATATGGATTTTGATACTTTGTAATACTCCAGATTATTAATAATAAAACAATATTAATATATATATATATGTATATATATATATATATTAGATGATAAATTATGATTAATTGAATTATTAATTGATTGATGATTTATGCATTAATGTTTGATTGGTAATGTTTGATTAATAATTTGATTTAATATGATGAGTCAATCATGAGTCAGCCTTAGTTAGCAAATAAGTTAGTTGTATTCTGAGCCATAAGAAGTTAAAAATAAAATAGTGTACAGAGCCAGATACATCAATGAAGAATAAGGAAATAATTGCAGGAAACCCATATCTGAGCCCAAAACTTCAACTATAAATAGCAAACATGGAGGTAGCAACCTATTCACTTTGAATCCTCAGTATTTCTCCTCTTCTCCTCTACTACTCTCTTCTTACCTCAAAATTTTATTATTTATTTTAATTTGGCCACAACCGCTTCTCTTCCCCAAATTATAGAAGGTAGCAAACATGGAGACCAGGTAATCCT